TGGCCATGAGCTGTCCCTCCCCTTGCCCACCGCATGCCACAGCGTTCAGCCCCCCGCCCTGGTGCTGCCCCCTGTGCTGCTCCTCCTCTCATGCCCCTTTCTAACTCCATATACAGTTTAGAATCAGCTTGTCAATTATTATTTCTTTTAAAAAAAGCTTTCTGCAATTTTTTGGGATTACCTTGAATCTGTGGGTAAATTAAAGAACTGGTATCTTAACAATATTGTCATCCGGCCCACGGACACGGCCAGGCCGGCCTTTCATAACAATATCGTCGTCCAGCCCACGGACACGGCCAGGCCGGCCTTTCATAACAGTATTATCGTCCAGCCCATGGACACGGCCAGGCGGGCCTTTCATAACAATATTGTCGTCCAGCCCACGGACATGGCCAGGCCAGCCTTTCATAACAGTATCGTCGTCCAGCCCACGGACACGGCCAGGCCGGCTTTTCATAACAGTATTGTCATCCAGCCCACGGACACGGTAAGGCCGGCCTTTCATAAGAATATCATCGCCCAACCCACAGGCACGGCCAGACTGGACTTCCATAACAACGTCGTCGTCCAGCCCACGAACACAGCCTGGCTGGCCTTTCTCTTATTTGTGTTCTTCTCCTCTTGTTGGCTGCAACTCCACAGAAATATGTGACTTCTGTGTACTTCCTTGTATCCTGTGACCTGCGTAGATTCACTCGCTGATTAGCTTCTGGAGCTTCTTTGTAGATTCCTTGGGATTTTCTTTTCTTTTCTTCTTTTTTTTTTTTTTGAGATGGAGTCTCGCACTGTCGCCCAGGCTGGAGTGCAGTGGCGCGATCTCAGCTCACTGCAAACTCCTCCTCCTGGGTTCATGCCATTCTCCTGCCTCAGCCTCCCAAGTAACTGGGACGACAGGCGCCGCCACCACGCCCGGCTAATTTTTTTTTTTTTTTTTTTGTAGTAGAGATGGGGTTTCACCGTGTTAGCCAGGATGGTCTTGATCTCTGCCCTCAAGATCCACCGCCTCGCTTCCCTGAAGTGCTGGGATTACAGGTGTGAGCCACACCGTGCGTAGCCAGGATTTTCTGTATAGATGTACACGTCTGTGACTGAAGACAGTTTTACTCTTCATTTTCAATCTTTATGCTTCTTAGGTCTTTCCCCCCTTGGATTTTCTGTATAGATGTACACGTCTGTGACTGAAGACAGTTTTACTCTTCATTTTCAATCTTTATGCTTCTTAGGTCTTTCCCCCTTATTCCTAGGTAAACTTATAATATGAGAAGTAAAAGTAGTGAAAGCACACAGACCTGCCTCGCTCCCCATCTTACGGGGAAGCATTCCATCTTTTGCTGTAAGTATCCTAGATATTTGATTTGTTTTTTATTTAACAGACTCTCTGTATCAGGTTGAGGGAGTCCCCTTCTTTTTTCTAGTTAAGGAAACTAGGAACTAAACTCAAGGAAGTTTTAGTCTAGAATGAGTGTTGAATTTTGTCACATGCTTTTTCTGCAGAATTTATTAAGATGTTTTTCTCCTTGTTAAATTTGCTCTGTTGATATGAGAATTACACTCACCGATGTTTGAATGTTAAGTAAGTGCCTCTTGGTCATGGTGTACTATCTCTTTCATATATAGTTGAATTCATTTTTCTAAAATTGTATTGAAGATTTTTGCTGCTGGGTTTGTGAGTGATACGTGGGCTTCCTTCCTGTAGATGATCTGTTTGGGTTTTGTTATCAGGGTAGTGCGAGCCTCATACAATGTGTGTCTCCTGTCTGTTTTCTAGGGGATTGCGTGGTACTGATATTGAAGCCTGTTGTGCCTGTGTATTTGCAGCAATGTTTTTAAGCACAAATTGAATTCTTGCCATACTTATAGAGCTATTTAGGTTTTCTATTTCTTTTTGAGTCAGTTTTGATATAATTCATGTCTTTTAAGGAATTTTCCTATTTCATCTTAGTTGTCAGATGTATGGGCCTGATAGGATTTTGTATTTCCTGAACGTTCTTTTAGTGTTGGATCTGCAGTCAGGTTCAGTCTTTTATTCTTGTTCTTGGTAATTTGCTAGTATGGTTTTTCTTCCTCTTGACCTGTCTAGGCAGAGTTGTGTAGTGTTTTGAATGCTTTTTAATTTTATTATTTCTATTATTGGTCTGTTTGCTATTTTATTAATTATTGAACTTAACCTTTATTATCTCTGTTCTACTTCCTTTGTGTTTAATTTCCTGGCTTCTTTAGGTGGACTTTCTAGACATTGATTTTATTCTTTTCTCTTTTCTAATATAAGAATTTAAAGCAGTAATTTCCTCGTAAGTACTGTTTTAGCCACATCCCTTAGCTTTGTGAGTATGTGTTTGTTTAAATGTGTTTTCTGCTTGTTTGAGGTAGGAGGTACTACCTGGTACCATGGCTGTAAGTAGAGGTCTCTTCCGGGCCTTTTACTGGGACGAGCATCGTGGAAGGTGGCCCCTCTGCCGTGCCCTTCTGCCTGGCTGCCCTTCCTCGACTGGCGGCTCTCATTCCCCACTCCATGCATCACGTCTCGGGTTTACTGGCTGGCAACCTCGTGTTCCCACGATGGACTTGGCAGGGGGATCTGATGCCTGGGGGGTTGCCAGGTTGGGTAAGGAGGCCTTGTTCGCTTTGATCCTGCATAGTGCTAACAGTTTGTGAGGGAGGCGCAAATGAGACGAGATCCTGCCTGGAAAGAGAAAAGCCTGACCCACCGCATACAGGAAACGGGCTGCCTTCATTCCAGCACTAATGGCTCCACGAGGATGTTTCAGCGGGGTCATGAGTGAGAGCTCCTGACACATGGGAGTCTAGAGGAGTGGAGAGGTCAGCTCGGAGCAGAGAAAAGTGTGGGCCGTGACCTGCCTGGCCCTCCCAGGGGAGTTATCTGGGCAGGTGTTGGTGCTGGGGCTGTTGCCCATGGCGGCAGCGTGACCAGACAGCTGCTTCTGGGTCAGCAACCAGGGCTTGGTTGTCTGCATCTGGCCTAGGAAGGTGGTAAGGCAGGGATATGTCCAGCTCATTCAGGAGCAGCAGAGACCTGTGGGCCAGGAGTGAAGTTAACCCAGGGGTGGTGTGGGGAGGTGAAGTCACAGGTGCAGGGGGGGTACAGGCAAGGGTGGCGTGGGGAGAGGGTGATCGCAGGTGCAGGGGCGGTGTGGCGAGGTGAAATCTCGCAGGTGCAGAGGGCGGCGTGTGAGAGTGAAGTTACACAGAGTGCAAGAAGAAGGGCGTGCGGGTGGCTGGGGGTGCAGGGGCAGAGTGGGGAGGTGAGGTAGCGAGGTGCAGGAGGCGCGTGGCGAGGCAGGTCACGTGGGCCAGAGCAGGGTGCAGGGGGGCGGCGTGGCGAGGTGAAGTCGCAGGTGCAGGGGGACGGCGTGGGGAGGTGAGGTCGCAGGTGCAGGAGGGCGGCGTGGCGAGGCCGTCCACGTGGGCCTAGAGCAGTGCTGGAGGGACTTTGGCTTTGACCGGAATGAGATGTGGAACCGTTGGTGAGCTCTGAGGTTTGGACTGGAAAGATCTGAAGTGTCTTTAGCAGGATCGCTCGAGCCTGCTGTGTGCAAAATGTGATGGGATACAGTGGCGCGTGGGCCGGGGACGGGAGGCTGCGTGGCAACCCAGGGTGAGGAGAGGCCTGGTGGGAGCAGGGGTGAGGGGCACACTGCTTCTGCATCCTTCTCACAGTGTTAAGCCAGTGGTTGGATGAAGAGGCATGTTTGCGAGCTGGAGGCACTGGAGGCTCTTCAGAGCCTGAGAGGCCAGCTGCAGGAGGCAGCCCTGACCAAGGCCTCGGGGAAGAAAGCTCCTGTCCCTGCGGTTCCCCCTAGTCTGTGGTAACCTTATGGCTCCTTGCCCTCCTTTGCCCACACCCTCTCTAGCCTGCTGGGTGCCTGTTCTGGGGGGCACTCTTACTCCTCTGTGTGCCACAGGCTCTGCCCACCCAGGGTGGATATCAGGAGATGGGCCCTGCTCCTGTAGGCTTGGCCTGGGGCAGTGGTGCCAGGCTTACTCCCACGTGTCGGCCCCGAGGCCTGCTTGGTGCAGGCCCTAGGTGATGCCTGAGGGGCCTGCAAGGGCCATTTGGGCTGTACTTGAAAGGGTCACTGTGTCTCCTCAGTTTCCACCAGGCCAGGGTCCTCCCTGCACTTACTGTGTGTGCCTGCGGCCAGGCTGGGGTACGGTTGCCCTGGTGCTTTTCTCTCCAGGGATGGGGGTGGCGAACCCCTAGTGGGAGATGGGCTGGTCTTCCCAGATGCTTTCGAGGTCATGCTTGGAACTGTAACCTGGGACTGTCCTGGCCTCCTTGTGTCTCACTGGGCCTGGGTGTGAGAACCGTCTCACCCGGGGCCCCTCAGAAGTGTGCAGGGGGTGAGGATCGCTGGCCTCCCTGGACCATGGCGCTGTTGCCTTGATTCTCCTGCTGGCTTTCCGAGGAGAGCTGACCGTGAGAGGGGCCTTTCTGCAGGGAGGGCTCGGGGCTGGGCCTCCTGTCTGTGGGGTATTTGGGGGTGGTTGCAGCGGGGGAGGAAGGTGGTCCTCACAGTGGCTGATTGGTGGGGCCCGGCTGCCACCCACCCCAGCCAGAGCTTACCTGCGCCGTCTCTCTCCGCCTGCCTTTCTGCCCCCGCCTCCCCCACCGGCCTCTTGCTGTGTGTCTGCCCGTCTCCCCTCTCTCTTGCTGGGTGTCTGCCTGTCCCTCCCTGTCCTGGCTCTTGGGCCCCCTCCTCTTTCTCTGTGGGAGTCACTGCTGCTCTTGTCTCTGTTCCCTTCTCTCTTTCTCTGAGCCTTTGCCTCTTTCTGTTTGGTACCTTTTCCCTACTCTTGTTTTCCTCTCTGCTGTTTTCTCTGTCTCTGTGTGTCTCTCGGCCCTCTCTCCACCTGTCCGTCCGTCTGCCTCTGTCTCCCCCACTCTGCCCGTGCATCCCTGCTCGCTGCGCCCTTCTGGGCCCTTGCTCTCTGCTGCCTTCCTCCCCTGCCTTCGCTCCTGGCTCCTTCTCGGCCCCCAGGCACACGGCACAGCAGGAGACCAACAAGACCATCGCAGCCAGCGCCACCACCGTGAAGCAGATGGCCGAGCTGCTGCGCGGCTCCTGCCCGGTATGTTCCTGGGGTCTCGGGCTGGGAGGGAGGAGAGGAACGGACCCTTGTGCCTGTGATGGGAGCGGGGACGTCACACGAGGCAGGATACAGGGAGGCTGATATGTGTGGATGGGCACAGACTGGCCTGGCACCTAGCTCCACGTGGCTCCGTGGCTCAGAACCTGTGTTCAGTCATTCGGGTAGCAGCCATGTGCCGACCACGTGCTGGGAGCTGGTGTGGCTGCCCGCACTCTTGCTCTCCTTGGCTTATGCAGTAGTGGGGACAAGAGCACCCTGGGTCCTCCTGGCCAGGCCTTACTGGAAGCTGATGGCCCGCCATTGTTTGCTTCACCATCCTCTCCCTGGCCCTGCATCCCCTGCCCCTCTGCCGCATCCGCCACTCAAGACCACCTTCACGTACACCCTCCCTATCCCCTCACCTCCCCTGGTGCCTTACCAGATGCATGGGCCTCAGGCCAGACATACGGCTGTGGCAGTGGCCATCGCCATACCCACTGCCACAGCCATCGCCACTGTCCTGGCTCAGCTGCCCCAGGGCCGCTCCCTCCCTCATCTCCACCCTGTCCCCACTTTTTTTTTTTTTTTGAGACGGAGTCTTGCTGTGTCTCCCAGGCTGGAGTAGAGTGGCATGATCTCGGCTCACTGCAACTTCTGCCCCCTAGGTTCAAGTGATTCTCATGCCTCAGCCTCCTGAGTACCTGAAATTACAGGCACCCGTCACCATGCCCAGTGAACTTTTGTGTTTTTAGTAGAGGTGGGGTTTCACCATGTTGCTCAGGCTAGTCTTGAACTCCCGGCCTCAAGTGATCCGCCCACCTTGGCCCCCTACTGCCTGCGCTGCCCTGCCCGGCGTTCCTGGGTCTCGGGCTGGGAGGAGGAGAGAACGGACCTTGTGCCTGTGATGGGAGCGGGACGCTACACGAGGCAGGATACAGGGAGGCTGATGTGTGGATGGGCACAGACTGGCCTGGCACCTAGCTCCACGTGGCTCCGTGGCTCAGAACCTGTGTTCAGTCATTCGGCAGCAGCCATGTGCCGACTCACGTGCTGGGAGCTGGTGTGGCTGCCCGCACTCTTGCTCTCCTTGGCTTATGCAGTAGTGGGGACAAGAGCAATTCTTTGGGGTCCTCCTGGCCAGGCCTTACTGGAAGCTGATGGCCCGCCATTGTTTGCTTCACCATCCTTCCTGGCCCTGCATCCCTGCCCTCTGCCGCATCCGCCACTCAAGACCACCTTCGCACACCCTCCCTATCCCTCACCTCCTGGTGCCTACCAGATGCATGGGCCTTCAGGCCAGATAATGGGCTGTGGCAGGGCCATCGCCATACTCCACTGCCACAGCCATCGCCACTGTCCTGGCTCAGCGTCCCAGGGCCGCCCTCCTCATCTCCACCCTGTCCCCACTTTTTTTTTTTTTTTTTTGAGACGGAGTCTTGCTGTGTCTCCCAGGCTGGAGTAGAGTGGCATGATCTCGGCTCACTGCAACTTCTGCCCCCTAGGTTCAAGTGATTCTCATGCCTCAGCCTCCCGGAGTACCTGAAATTACAGGCACCCGCCACCATGCCCAGTGAACTTTTGTGTTTTTAGTAAGAGTGGGGTTTCACCATGTTGCTCAGGCCAGTCTTGAACTCCGGCCTCAAGTGATCCGCCCACCTTGGCCCCCTAAAGTGCTGGGATTACAGGTGTGAGCCACCACTCCTGGCCCTGTCCCCACTTCTAACCGTCCCGACACCCTCCGCTCCACCACACCAGGTCAGTGCCTGGGTCACTGGGAAGATTGAGGATACTTGTCACAAAAGATTAAATGCTGCCAAACCCTAAGATTTTACGGGGCAGGAGTGAGCAAGCTGCAGCGCGCTGGCCCGCACCTGCTTCATGCTACACCTGCTTCATGCATACGGTGTGGGTTTTCACTGGCCATAGCCTTGCTTCATGCTGCACCTGCTTCATGTGTACAGTGTGAGCCGCTGGCCATACCTGCTTCATGCTGCACCTGCTTCTATGTGTGGGCAGTGTAAGCCGCTGGCAGCACCCGCCTACGCTGCACCTGCTTCATGTGTGTATGGTGTGAGCCGCTCTGTCGCACCTGCTTCATGCACGTGGCATGAGCCGCTGGCCTCACCTGCTTCCATGCTGCACCTGCTTCAGGCGTCAGTGAGCTGCTGGCTGTAGCCTGCTTCATGTGCACAGTGTGAGCCGCTGCCGTACTCTGCTTCATGTGTACGGTGAGCGCTGGCTGTACCTGCTTCATGTGCACGGTGTGAGCTGCTGGCTGTAATTTTGCCTATGTGCATAATGAGCCACATACCTGCTTCATGTGCACGGTGAGCTGCTGGCTATACCTGCTTCATGCATACGGTGTGAGCTTACTGGCTGTACCTGCTTCATGCATACGGTGAGCCGCTGGCTGTACCTGCTTCATAGACATGTGAGCGCTGGCTGTACCTGCTTCATGCATACAGTGTGAGCCGCTGGCTGTACCTGTTTGCGTATACGGTGAGCCACTGGCTGTACCTGCTTCCATGCACGGTGTGAGCTGCTGGCTGTACCTGCTTCATGTGCACGGTGTGAGCTGCTGGCTGTACCTGCTTCATGTGCACAGTGTGAGCTGGGTGAGCCGCTGGCTGTACCTGCTTCATGTGCACGGTGTGAGCTGCTGGCCGTACCTGCTTCATGTGCACAGTGTGAGTGAGACGCCAAGCTGCCCCTGCTGTAGGTGCTGCCCATAGCTGCTCTCACTGCCTTGGGAGGGCTGGGGTTGCAGGTCCAACCTGCTGCAGAGCCAGCAGCATGGATTAGCAGTCCTGCAGGGGAAGCACATGCCGCCTTCCCTGTGGAAAATACACGTGACGTGGACAGTGCTGCGCTGGGTGTGGTCAGCAGTGAGAAGGAACGGAGAGTTAGGCAGGCCACAATGTGGTGGGGCTCAAAGACCACATGCCCCCATGCAAGAAAACACACAGTGTGTGGTTCTGTTTGTGTGAAATATCCAGAAAATGCAATCTCTGGAGACCAAAAGTGGACGAGCGGTTGTCGGGATTGGGAGCAGGAGTCGGTTTTGGGGTGCCTGCAGGCAGGCGCAGGGCCCTTTCTGGCCTGATGGGGAAGTTCTAAAACTGGGTTGTGGGGATGGCTGTACAACTAAGAGTTACTGAACTCGACACTTAAAAGTGGGTGAATTTTATCAGATCTCAATTATACGGTAATAAAACTTGTACTTAAAAAAGTAGAACTAGTTCAAAAGTTAGTTACACTAAAAAAGCGTGTGACAGAGGCAGCAGCCCCCTGTCCAGTGATGGAGTGGCCGGAGTCTCCCTAAAGGCAGATGACAGGAGCGCTGGGAGCTTTGTGCTGAGCGGCCTGGAGCCTCTCTGTGCACAGGCCACTCCTCATAGCCATGGCTGCCCTGCGGGGACCACTCTGTGGGGACTGGGTGCTGCCCTGGCCTGTGCCCTCGGGCGGTGATGTCAGCAGCATCATGGCCAGCATTGACGCCTGTGTCTGCCCTCTTCCTCTGTAGCTTTGTTCTTCATTCTCTGACTCAGGTGTGCCTGAGTCACTTACTCATTTACTCATTCATCCGAGAATACATGCTGGGCCCTCTTATGGGAGGCACTGCGCTTACGTGAGGTGCTGAGCAAGGCCCCCCATGGTGGAGGGTTGCGATTCTGAGAGGTGTTTCTGTGGGGTGAGCAGGCTCGGGTGGTCCGCGCAGGCCGTCTCCTCGTGACGTGAATGGCTCCCTCACACGGCTTGGTGGGCGCGGTCAGTGCCTACCACATCTTTGACTTTGTGGGCCGTGGACGCTTCGATGAGATGTAGTACCTTCGATCGTGGGAAGAGGTCAAGGCTGTGATTGGCTGCTCCCAGTGCCCCTCGGTTATCAGAGGTTTACCCCAGACCAGCCCGCCTGAGCCTTAGCTCTCTCCAATCTTCTGATAGCCATGGGGTGGGTGCTGGAAGGAAGCTGTGGGTTCCTTGGTGCTCCTGCTGGTGGGCGGCGCCCACGGTGAGCCAGAGCAATGGGGCTGACCCCAGGGCTGCTTGTCCAGCCCCACCCTGGCTCAGTGTTTCTCCAGCTCCAGCTCTGGAGCAGGTGCCTGGTGGGCGCTGAGGTGTGGTGGCAAACGGCCTGGACCCTGGAGGCCATGGGGAGCCCGGGTACAGGCGAGATGCTGGGGAAGGGGATGGTTCTGGCAGTGACCCCGTCACCTATGTGACCACAGACAAGCCACTCGGGACTCAGGGCCACGGTGTCCTGCGCTGTGGAAGGGGAGTCACAGACAAGCCACTCGGGAAGCCACTCGGGACCTTGTGGCCACGTGTCCTGCGCTGTGGAGGGGGAGTCACAGACAAGCCACTGGACTCAGGCCGCTGCAACTGCGCTGTGAAGGGGAGTCACAGACAAGCCACTGACCAGGCCGTGGTGTCCTGCACTGTGGAAGAGGAAGGAGTCAGCTGCGACAAGCCACTGACTCAGGGCCGTGTGTCCCGTGCTGTGGAAGGAGTCACAGACAAGCCACTGGGACTCGGCCGCGTGTCAGCCAGGAAGGAGTCACAGACAAGCCACTCGGGACTCGGGCCACAGTCTCCTGCGCTGTGGAAGGGGGGAGTCACAGACAAGCCACTCGACTCCAGGGCCGCGGCCGTGCGCTGTGGAAGGGGAGCCCGAGACAAGTTCACTCGACTCCAGGGCCGTGTCCTGCGCTGTGGAAGGGGAGTCACAGACAAGCCACTCGGGACTCAGGGCCGCGGTGTCCTGCGCTGTGGAAGGGGAGTCACAGACAAGCTTGCCTGGGACTCAGGGTCACGGTGGTTCTGCGCTGTGGAAGGGGAGTCACAGACAAGCCACTGACTCAGGGCCACGTGTCCTGTGCTGTGGAAGAGGAAGGAGTCACAGACAGTCACTCGACTCGGGGCCACAGCCCTGCGCCTGTGGGAAGGAGTCACAGACAAGCCACCCGACTCCAGGGCCGCGGTGTCCTGCGCTGTGGAGGAGTCAAGCAGATGCTTCTACTGACTCAGGCGTGTCCTGCGCTGTGAGGAGTCACAGACAAGCCACTCGGACCCAGGGCCGTGGGTCCTGCACTGTGGAAGAGGAAGGAGTCACAGACAAGCCACTCGGGACTCAGGGCCATGTGTCCTGCGCTGTGGAAGGGGAGTCACAGACAAGCCACTCGGGACTCAGGGCCGTGGTGTCCTGCACTGTGGAAGAGGAAGGAGTCACAGACAAGCCACTCGGGACTCAGGGCCACGGTGTCCTGTGCTGTGGAAGGGGAGTCACAGACAAGCCACTCGGGACTCAGGGCCGCGGTGTCCTGCGCTGTGGAAGGGGAGTCACAGACAAGCCACTCGGGACTCAGGGCCGCGGTGTCCTGTGCTGTGGAAGAGGAAGGAGTCACAGACAAGCCACTCGGGACTCGGGGCCACAGTCTCCTGCACTGTGGAAGGGGAGTCACAGTGCTTCTCGCGGAGGTGGTGCGGGGCCAGGTTTATGTGCCTTGAGTAGCTCCTGGCTCCGGCAGGTGGTGTTGACCCCTGAGCTGGATTTTGTGGTGATGGTGTCCCTGGGGACCCTGGGTGTGCTTGTGGAGACAGCGGTGACACCAGGGGGATGTAGTTGATGGCGAGCCCCATTCTGAGTGTGGGAAGGTGGGACATCAGTGCGGGAGGAGGTGAGGGTGGTGGGGCCGCTAGGGCAGGGCCAAACCTCACATGTCGTGCCAGCTGTGCCCTCTTTCTGCAGCAGGAACGTCCTCAGCTGGACCGGCTGAAAACCCAGCTCTTGGATGCCATTCAGCGCTATGGAGTGGTGCAGAAGGTGAGGTTCAGGGGGGCGGCAGGGGCCTGCAGACCAGATAGGGTGGGCCTCGGTTCCCAGAGCACCCTCATGGCTGTCTTGTCCCTGTGGGCCTGGTACAGCCCCATCCCCAAAGGCAGAGAAGGGGGTCATCCTTGCACACAGTTTCTAGGCAGCCAGGATCCAGACTGTGCCTCAGGGCTTGTGTCCTAGAGGACATTTACCCTCAAGAGCTGACCCACAGCAGCTCTGGGGAAGCAGGAACAGGTCTCACCCGACTCTGACAGGTGAGGAAACGGGGGCCCAGGGAGCTCCCATGCGTGAACAGAGGCCATCCAGCGTCTCGCTGGCAGAGCTCAGCCCTGGCCCCGGCAGCCTCTTCTGGGAGTGGCAGGCGTATTTTGCTGCACCATCGTCCAGAACCCTGCGCTCAGCTGACCATTTCTTCTCTCTTCCCCACCTTTTTTGCTCTTCCTGTGTTTCTTCTCTTGTCCTTTTTCCAACAGAAAATTGCAGAAAAGTCCAGAGCGCTGCTTCCCATGGCACAGAGGGGCAGGAAACAGGTGGGTGCCAAGTAGTGACCGTGGGTCAGTGACTGCTAGGGGACAACCCAGAATCCACTGACATCTGTGCTCCATGGAAGGGCAGGGAGGGCCAAGGGCAGGGGTCTCTTCTGAGGGGTGCCGTGAGGCACAGCCTTGAAAACGTGAGCATTTTGACCTTTGGACCCTGGCACAGTGCCTGACAAGGGCTCAGCTCCCAGAGAATGACTGTGGATGGTTCCATGTGCTGGGCAGGACTCACTGGTCAGACCAGCCCTCTTGCTGAGAGCTGCTGTAAAACCTGGGTTAAAACACACGCATACATGGCCGGGTGCAGTGGCTCATGCCTGTAATCCCAGCACTTTGGGAGGCCGAGGTGGGCAGATTACCTGAGGTTAGGAGTTCAAGACCAGCCTGGCCAACATGGAGAAACCCCATCTCTGCTAGAAATATAAAAATTAGCCAGGCATGGTGGCGAGCACCTGTAATCCCAGCTACATGGGCAATCGAGGCAGGAGAATTGCTTGAACCCAGGAGGCAGGGCCGAGGTTCCAGTGAGCGGAGATCGCACCACTGCACTCCAGCCTGGGTGACAGAGTGAGATTCTGTCTCAAAAACAAAACCAAAAAAAACACAGGCACATGCACACAGAAAAATGCACACATAGATGCACACAGACACGTAGACACACAGATAAACACAGATTCACAGAGATAAACAGAGACACAGACATGCAGAGACATGCAGAGACAGAGAGAAATACAGACACACAGACACACAAATACAGACATGCAGAGACACATGCAGATAAACACAGACGTGCAGAGATGCAGATAAACGCACAGAGACGCAGATAAACACAGACATGCAGACACATGCAGGTAAACACGCAGAGACAGATAAACACAGATGCACAGAAATGCAGATAAACACCTAGAGACACAGATAAACATAGACACGCAGATACACAGATAAACACGGACACGCAGACACACATGCAGATAAACAGAGACACATAAACACAGACACACATGCAGATAAGCATAGACATGCAGAGACACAGATAAACACGGACACACAGACATGAAGAGACACAGATAAACAGACACACATGCAGATAAACACCTAGAGATGCAGATAAACACAGACACACATGCAGATAAACACCTAGAGACACAGATAAACATAGACACGCAGACACATAGATAAACATGGACACGCAGACACACATGCAGATAAACAGAGACACAGATAAACACAGACACACATGCAGATAAGCATAGACATGCAGAGACAGATAAACATAGACACGCAGACACACAGATAAACACGGACACACAGACATGAAGAAACACAGATAAACACAGACATGCAGACACGCAGAGACACAGATACAGACACGCAGAGACACAGATAAACACACACAGATGCGAAGAGACACAGATAAACACAGACACACTGAGACAAAGACACGCAGTCACACAGATAAACACGCAGACACGAAGAGACAGATAAACAGACACACACAGACAGAGATAAACGCGCAGACACGAAGAGACACAGATACACAGACATGAAGAGACACAGATAAACACAGACATGCAGAGACAGATAAACATAGACCCACAGACACACAGATAAACGCAGACATGCAGACACAAAGAGACACAGATAAACAGACAAACAGGTGTGCAGAGACACACGCAGATAGACACAGGCATGCAGAGACACATGGATCCAACATGGGGGAAGCATCAGAGCAGCCGGGAACCAGGCCCAGGGAGGCACGTGTTCCCAGATCACTCAGGCTCATCATCACTTCCTTCTCACCCTCAGGACATTTGCCAGCTTGTGTCTCAGCTTATCGAGACTGAACAGCTGTGGTGGCTTATAGCTTTAGTGGTCTTACTGGGCCAGAGAGTCACAAATTAGAGCTCGGGGCCCTTAGGAATAAAACCCTGGAGGGGATTGCAGCCCTCAGGTTTTCCCCCGAGAGGCAGGCTTTTGCTGATCCACACTCGCTGGTGTGTGCGTGACGTGAGAGTCTAAGACGTCAAGCAACAAGTACTTTACAGGAAAAGCTGAACAGAAGTCGGAGTGCCTTCAGAGTACTAAGAAGACAAAAGTTGGATTTTAAGGCCCACCCAGGAGGAGGGACTCTTGTAAACACAAGTTCCGCTTGAGACCATGAGAGATGACAGTAAACCAGAAGTAGACCAGCCCTGACCAACCAAACCTAAAGCATAGCCAGCAATCATGTGTATGTGGTCTCTCCAAAGACAGAGGACAATTCCATCATCTAGAATCTCTGCAACTTTTCATATAGTGTTTGGGATTTAAGCCAAAGTCATTAGACATCACAGGTACCAGGATCCAATGACTAAAGCCAAGGAAAAACAGGAAGTAGAAACTGACCAACAGGTGACGCAGATAATCAAATGGTTGGTCGGACACTCAGCTTAAAATACCTACAGGTTGAGCATCCCTAACTTAAAACTCCAAAATCGGAAAGTTTTTGAGTGCCAACATGATGCACAAAGGAAATGCTCTTTGGAACATTTAGGTTTTTGGATTTTTGATGAGGAATGTTCATCCAATAAGTACAATGCAGATATTCCAAAATCTGGAAAAAAAAAATCAAAAATCTGAAAACAAGTTCAAAATCTGAAACACTTCTGGTCCCAAGCGTTCCGGATGAGTGACACTCAATCCGTTTTATTAACACGTGAAAGGAAATAGGAAATGGTACAGACTTTTACCAGAGAATTTACATTTTATTTTAAAAAGGGAGTTCTAGTATTGAACAATACCGTAACTAAAATTAAGAATTTAGTGGGTTAGCTAAATCTCCACATAGACAAAGCAGAAAAAAGGATTAGTGAATTAGAAGGCAGGGCATAAGAAAACTTATCTGGGATGTTGAATATTTATTAAAAAATTAAATCCATAATTTAAAAATATCCCGCAAAGAAAACGCTAGACCTCAATAGCTGTATGGGTAAATTCGGTCCCATATTTGAGCAGTACCTAGCAGCAGTTTACACACACACACACACACACACACACACAGAGAATACGGTGGGGGGGAACACACCTTGTTTGCCTCACGAGGCCCCAGTAGCTTGATTCCAGATTCTTACGAGGATCCCAGGAAGGAAATAACAGGCTAGTCTCTCTTACGAACATAGAGACAAAAATCCTAAATATTAGTAACTTCAATCAATCAATGTGTAAAAGGATGATACATCATTATAAAGTGGGGTTGATTGTAGGGATGCAGGGCTGATTTGCATTCAGAGTCTGGGTGTGATTCACCACAGAATACAGAAGAAGTGAGGAAATCTGTACAGGTTATTTCAACAGATAGGAAAAGCACTTGATAAAATTCAGCACTCAAGGAGGCTAAAAAAAAATCCTGGCAAACTAGGAATAGATAAGAATGCCTTTAATCTGCTAAAAGGTATCTTCAAAAACCCTACAGTTAACGTTATACTGACTGAGGAGATGTTAAAATCTTTTCTCCTAAGATAGAGGATAAAACGAGGGCATCTAGTACTATTGTTTCTGTTCCCCATTGTGCCAGAAGTCGTATCCAACGCAGTATGGCATGAAAAAAAAAGTAGGATTGAGAAGGAACTGTGTTTCATAGACAGCATGATTATGTCCATGGAAAATCCGAACGCGTCTGCAGCGTGCTGTTAGAATTCATCAGTGAATGCGGCAGGACAGGTAGTAGACAAGAAGACATTGTGTGTGCTGGCAAAAGACAGTTTGGAGAGGAAATTTAAAAACTGATACCATAATTTATTACAATAAATTTCTTCAAAAAATTCTATGAAGAGTGGTTAAGGCCTCTACATTAAAAACTATGCCCCATTACTGAGAGAAATGACAGATGACCTAAACCATGCAGGGGATACTGTGTTTACGGAGATGTCAGCTCTCACCCGGTGGATGATCTAAACCATGGAGGGAATACTGTGTTTACAGAGATGTCAGCTCTCACCCAGTGGATCTGTAGGCTCAATATAATCCCAGTAAAGTTCCAGCAGGTTTTCAGTGTGTGTGTGTGTGTGTGTGTGTGTGTGTGTGTGTATATGTGAACTGTCAAGCTGATTCCAAAATGTATATGGAAATAGGAAAGACCCAAAATAGTGAAGACAGTTTTGAAGAACAACGAAAGAGATTTATACTCTCAGGTATTGGAACACGCTATAAAGCACAGAAATAAAAACAGTGTGGCGTCTGTGCGAGGCTAGACACACCAGCCCTTGGACACATCAGCCCGTGGGACAGAGTGAAGACCGGACACAGACCACATATACGTGGTGGCTGGGTTTGCGGCCGAGGCGGACTGCCCTGCCACGGGAGGTGGGTGATTCGTTCAGGGCTTGATACGGATCACTCAGATGTTTGAACTGGAAAAAAGGACCCTTCACAAACAACTCACCCTGTGCAGAAAGCACTTCCAGCCAGACCACAGACCCACGTGTGAAAGATAAGGCAGTAGCACATCCAGAAGGCACCATGGGAGGCTCCGTTGATGCCTTCATGGTGGGCAAGTGTTCTTACACAGACGCACAAGTGCCACCCACAAAGGAGAAGGTCGATACACTTTGTTAAAGTTATACCCCAGTAAGAGAGTGCAGCCCACAGCACAGGGGAGGGTGTGTGCACAACACGTGTGAAAAGGACTTACATCCTTAATATATAAAGATATCTTACAGATCAACAAGGAAAGGGCAGACAACTCTATTGAAAAACAATAAAAGGGCAGCAGCCTTCCACAGGCACCTCAGAAGAGGATTCCTGGTGGCTCATAAGCCTGTGAACTTGGCAACACGAGTTATCAGAAAAATGGCAAAGAAACCCATGGTGGTGTATCACCACACACCACACCCACACAAAGAACTAGAGCAAACATGAGTGAGAACCCCTGCAAAAGCCGGGTGTGGGCCTGTGTGCAGGTCGTTGCACACTCATGCCTTACCGGTGGAGTGTGCCTCTGCATCACCACTTTG